CTTGAACATAGGGCTGAAACCCTCAACTGGTATAATGACTTTACACTGTAGTGATAAGTCCAATAATACCTACAGGAAGCAGCTAGGAAAGGTTCAGAGACTCCCCCACTGGATCCATGAAAATGACGCCAATTTTGGCCATGGATGCACTTCTGGGACTAGAATCTTTACACTTAGTTGTGGAGGTAGAGGCTCGGAAGGATTCCATACCGTTAAACGATTGGGACGAGTGGAAGGGTCGAGGCAACTTGAGCACGGGAGGAACTGGGAGGAAACCCTCAAATCCGATCCCCTACTCGCTAGAAGATACGTAATCCAGGCTGTCTTACTGAGAACGAAGAGTTAAGGCCGCTCTCCCGGGCAAGGAGCAGTGGCTGAAAACAGATTGCCCGCTCCTCAAATCCGAGGGACCCGTGTGGTTACAGATGGGCCCCTAACCGAAAGGGAAACGGAAATGGGTATACAGTGATAGTCATTTAGAAGGAGACACAGGAATTTGTGTATATTGTTTTCCCTATGTCTACTTTAAAATGACGAAAACTCTTCTGAATTTTATGCAACCAAAATAAATTCTTAACACAAATGAAGTTCTAGCTGTTATATTAATTAAATGGATTCCATATTTTCATTTTCGTTCGAGTGTGATGTATTAAACTGAAGAAAAAGTTGATATTGTCAATTGGTACAGTGCCGGTAACAGTTTAAGGAGCGTAAGATACTTATTTTCTCTATTGATCACTTTAAAATTAGTAGTTGTTTAAATGCGATGCACATAAGACACCGGAAACAACCCTCAGTTTTAACGGAGGACTTGAAACTGAACATTTTAATTTTTGTGGAAGAGATCCTATAAGAAACTTATGGGAAATAGCATACTATTTACTGTCGCTTTTATTGAAATTCAGAATGACGGCTGTGCAGAATGCGCGCGCATGTTATTTTGGTTGCATAAAATTAGGCGTCTTTCAAAAGGGTTTTTGAAATTTAAAAGTAGACATAGGAATACCTATACAGGCTGATTCAAATTCGAGGGCCACCATGAGGATTTCGGGAACTGTAAGACATAGGTAGGTAGTTTAAATTCGGCAAAGTTGCGTATTTTGATGCTTAACAATATGCAGTTTTGAAACTTAAAAAAGTCCGACTACTTTCGGAGATATCCGGAAAACACCGAAATTTTGCAAAATCGTTTTTATTTTTTACTGAAGTTATTTAAAAAGATATTTCGAAATAAATAACACATCATTATGGTCACTTTTTTCTCTCTACAAGATGACAAATTTTAAATCCGACGTTTCGTCTCCGGTTGACCATCATCAACTTTGTTTTTTCTTATGGAAGTAATTTTTACTTTTTGGGTCATTTGATAGAGAATTCAAAAGAGAGTTCAAAAATATAAACATCGCAATTTTTTTAATTATTAAAATATTTTCTTTTTTGCCTAGAAAACTTTGTCTTAGATAGTGTACGTACGTAGTTTCTTGCGTTTTTACGAATTAATAGCGCTATTTTATTTTTGAAATCAGAAAAAAATTCTCCTTCAAAAGACACAAAAAGTAAAAATTACTTCCATAAGAAAAAAACAAAGTTGATGATGGTTGACTGCAGACGAAACGTCAAACTTAAAATTTAAAAGTAGCATCTTGTAGAGGGACAAAAGTGGCCATAATAATGTATCATTTATTGCGAAATATTTTTAAATAACTTCAGTAAAAAATAAAAATATTTTGCAAAGTTTCGTTTTTTTTCCGGATATCTCCGAAAGTAGTCGGAATTTTTTAAGTTTCTAAACTGCATTTTGTTAAGCATCAAAATACGCAACTTTTCCAAATTTAAACTACCTACCTATCTCTTACAGTTCCCGAAATCCCCATGGTGGCCCTCGAATTTGAATCACCCTGTATACTTCAAAAGGAATAACACTGTACATTATGGTGATCGAGCAGAGCAGAGATGCTAGCCATCATGACCCGTACACAGGAGAACCTCCGTAGAGGTTACCGTAATAAGCATACACAACGTGTTCCATCGACAGGCGGGACATAGGAAATCCCATGTAAATTTAAAGAAGGGTAAGTATTGGTTTCCCTAATTCTTTTAGAGGAAAAATCTATTTAGGATATTTGAAGAACATTAAAATCCGCATCTTTTTGATAATTCTATGTTCTACTGTTGATTTTGTGGGTATCGGCCTGTTCAGGTAGAGCGGCAAACATGTCTGATACTTGATAACTATTTCCTTGATAATACCATTTAATCAGCAATACTTTCTCTTCAGTTGCGTAATTGATAGCTAATAATAGCATTAAAGCATTAAATTTCAGTAGGTATAACAACTTCATTTGACAATCAAACTTTACCTCACTTGTTCCCTATAAATTCGGGGCGATAAGAAAGGAGAAATTACAAAATATTGTTGGCAATATCTCGTTGAGGGTATCAACATTCATATTTATTAATATATTTTGTTGAAACTTTAATCACAGATACTCGTAATAATGGCAACCATATCGCATATAATAGTAAAAATCAGATGTGCGCATGCGCACGCGTAATGCCAACTTTCGTATTTATTCTTTGAAAT